AATATTATTTAAAACTGGTAGTGCGTGTGTTTTTGGTGATGGCATAGCCGGGATCGGGGGCTGAAATCTTCAATATGCATATAAAATTGTTACCTGAAAATGATAATAATTTTAACACTTATAAATGAAAATAGTAATGATTCTATTATTATTATTATTATTATTGTCGTTGTTATTATTATTATTAATATTATTATTATTATTATTATTATTATTATTATTATTATTATTATTATTATTATTATATTCTTAGATTTTTTAAGTTTTCATGGGTGGCTCTTATGCTAGCGGCTGTTGCAGCCATAATAAGGGTCTGCCAGATCCATTTACTTCTTTTTAATATTTTCAGTACTGTGATACTGTTATATTGTCTGTATTTGCTTTTATTACTTTGGCTGAATGTTTTATTTTTTTATTTTTCTTTTGTTATAATAGGAAAAATAGATGATATATCAGGGGCGGCACTAGCCGGGGTCCAGGGGGAAAAGCACCCTCCGCTTGACTCCCTGTCGGGGAATTTCCAGCAAGGTCATCGTGGAAATTCAAATCTCGGGAGCCGTAAATAAGTAAAATTAAAATTTTGTTTCAATGTATCTTACATTTTCAAAATGATAATGTATGTATAGTCTTTTGTATGTCATTATAAAGCAATATCACTTGACCTCAATAAATAGTTTTTGAAACATTTAGCCTAAATAACTTCAATTAAATAAAATTAAAAACACTGCGGTTTGGTTGGTTGTAAACATAGTTTTCATGCCTATCGGTTCATCGATCCATTGAAAAAAGAATACGTATAGGGCCTACAACTACTAATTTTTTTTCTGTATGTATACACACATAATAGGCCTATTTGTTGTAATAAGAATGAGAAAATTTACCTGAACGTTGTCAAGAGGGGGAAAACCTTGAATTTTGAAAAACTTGAAAGTTAATTAAAGACACCTCAGAAGTCGGCTTATTTCTCTTCAATCTAGGAATCAAATTGTTTCCAGAGGAGGACCCCGGACTCCCCTTTTTTGGGGGGGGGGGGCTTTTTTTTAAAAAATATTTTGAGCCATTTTGAGCCCCTCCTTCAAATCCTGGATCCTACTCTGGGTATCCTCTTATGTATACCTAGTATTTATTTTGTGAGTTGACCAATGATAAGTTGGGCCCTCATAATTCTGACCACGCCCCTAAATTTTGAACCCAGATCCGCCCCTAGTGGCTCTGGTTTTTTCCATCGCTCTTTCTATTTTGAAATAGTCAGGGTACGAGCATTTTGACCAAACAGGAAGCGTGTTGCCGCAAGACAATTGGGTTTTCTCCGAACCATTGCCTCGGCTACCTTTTTAAATTAGATGGCCAATAGGATATTGATAATAATGATAATGATAATCATGTCGTTTGATCGTAATCTTTATTATGTATCATGCTAGCTCAAGCCATTGATGTGTATATTTTTCAGTCAGGTTGAGGTATTCCTTGGTAGGTCTATAAAAGAATATTTTTGTCCTTGACGAATCTCTCTCCTCTCGCCCTTCCGTTGGAAGGACAAAGCATCCATGATACAAATCTACAACCATACCTAAAAGTGATTTCGTGATTGGTAATGTGGTTGAAACGTATCACGAATTCTTTCGTTTCGCTTTTATCCTTTATTGAACATACGGTAACTAAAGCAATCACTCCATATAGAGCGCATATCTCCGCCCTGTACCAAAATACAGTTGTATGATTGCATACCCTAAACAAGTAATGGAATCACTCGTCGTGTGCAGGCACATTGTTTTCTCGAGTGGGTATTACCTTGATCTTGTCTTTTGACCTGTTCTTTAAAAAAAATTGAAAGAGGCCTTCCTTCTATTGCTATGTGCTATTCCACTAAATTTTATGATGATCCATTCATTATTTGTTGCTTTCTTGATAACAGACAGACAGAAAGACAGCTCGATAGACAGATAGTTAACCTGTCTTGCGCAGGTAAGAGGTAATAGCAAACATACAAGAGAAACAGAAAACAAAATAGCACAAAATGCTAAAATACTGGTAGTACTCAGTTCAATTCAATCATAATTCCAATTGAACCTCAACGGCAATAGAATTATAATAAAATTTAATTTTTTAATAGAAAAGACAAACAAAAATTATATAATCGACCACCTCCCCCTCCAAAACATATGTTATGAGGCCGATATATGTAGTTTTGTGTATGAAATTTGAATCCCCAATTTCAGCAAATTTCGCAATAATGTGTGAACAGTAATTATGTATTTTGTCCACTTACACTACAGACGCACGTTTTGCCACGCTCAATTGAGCTAAGAACGCTGTTAGACAAGTACAAATGGTATGTAGTAGCTACATAAAATATTCATGATCAACTAGAATGGTCTACAAAATAAATTCACTGCGAACTCATAACAATAATTTTCAATGTCATCTAAACCCTGATAATGAACTAATTATAACTATTATGTGACGATCAAAACAACTGGTTAAATAACATGTAAAACATGCCTTTTCATGTATTCTGTCAAATTTGTTTTTATTATCAATGAACTCACCCACTTAATCTATTAAGCAATATAATGTGTCTATCGTTGTTTTTACTATCAATGAGTTCCTTATGTCGTACAATATACGCTCCTCTTTATCAAATGAAAGTTGGGAATTTTGACAGCAGCTCGAGAAGCGCCGTGGACAATACTTCTTCACCGTGCTAATCGCAATAAGAGTGATCGTTTACTCTGAGGAAATGTACTGTTATTTTCATATCGACATTTACAGTACATTATGTACTAGATATTTACATCTGCAATCACATTAAAACACTTCAAAACACTGACCTTTATTGAAAACCCAACTCATAAACTAAAACACATAGAAGCTCAACATCCATAATGATATTACTGATGAATAATATTAATTATCTTTATAATGATGTCGTTCCTTGACCATTTTATGTATCTGTAACTTAGATTAATTTATTTTCTATGTTTGTTTTATAAATGGTCGAATCGAAATGTTTTATAAGTGAAGAACTTATTTAAATACGATTTCAATGTAAATTAGATAATCAATTCATTAATGTTTATAAATGATCGAATAAATGATGAATAATTGAAGAACTGATTTAGATACAAATTGAATGTAAATTAGATAATGAATTCAAAGAAAATACAGTAACAATAATTTCGCCGAATGCCAAATAGGTACGTTCCATTCTTCAGCAGCCTCTTCGTTAGTCTGATCATCAAAAATAATTAATTATGTATAATCATTTACTTACACTAAGTAAAATAATTTCCAAATCAAACTAAAACACAATAACAATTATTATTGGTCCTAATAATATTAATGGATAGTTTTTTTTCAATATCATTTAAAAGTGTGTTTGATTTTTTTTTTACGATATTGGACGTTGCCATTACAATGATGAAAGAGATTTTTAGAAACTATAGCCAAAGGAATGTTACAGCACTAATAACACTGGAAGTAACTGATTACACATGTTTCAGCACGATTTAAAAATATAGTACATACATTTAACTTCTGAGCAACTCAACATCATACATCACAACACCAGTTAGCCACAGTAACTATTCATAATTCATGTCCTGAGCGAAGATAGCAAAATCTGCCATATCACGTTTAATCATTATTACTTCTCTCACCTTAAGCTTTTATATCAAGTTTCTTATTTAGACCATGGCCATGTTCTAATAAGGCATTATAAATCACAAATATTGTTGTAGACTCTTCCTTACTCCTCTATCACGATCACTGACTCTAGCTGGCGCCATTTAAAACTGCCAACGGCTGAGCTAAAATTCATTAGAATCATATAAAACAGCACATATTACACACACTTTGAATGAATAATAAATAGAATGAGATCATTTGTGTCAGAATTTATTTTAAACATAAAAACAGGAAGGTATCAAAATGCGTTTTGTTAACGAATCACTATTGCTAGAAAAACCGGTAAAACCGCTTAGGTAATGTATTGTAGACCAAGTTAAATTTCGAGTCGAGTTATGAATTCAGCCAGGGTTCTGAGACACATTCAAAACATAATAATAATTATTAATAGAAAAAGAAATATTGGCTTGCTTATTAGTGACAAATATGTTGGCAGTATCATCTATCGCATCAAACTAAACTTGCCTTCGTTGCAACTTTCCGATTCTTCCTAATATCAACCAATCAATGTTTATATAGCAATTTTTTTTTTTAAATTAAGTATTCTGAGTGCTTTTCGGATGTTCAATATGCTCTTTGTCACTCTCAGTCTACCGCTGACGTTAATTTTCTTCATTAAGAATTTGTAAACGGAGCTTTAATTTTAATATATTTGTCTTATTTTAAATATTACGTAACTGCTTGGAACTTTCGTGCTATTAATTATATTATTATTACTATGGTATTAATTCTGATGCCCAATAAACATCTGTCGGCAGAATAAACGCATGTGTTTGGCAATGTTTTTTTTATGTATTTTATTTCAAAGTTAAGTGTAAGTAAATTTTACTTTATTTAAATATATGTGCAGTTTATGAATGGAAGTTCTTGTTAGTATGTCAGGCAAAATGCAGGCCTACTATTTTAATAAACATACTTAATCGATACAAGGTAATTTAAAGAGTATTAAATAGGATCAATTTAACAAATTTTACGTGTTTACACGAATGAAAAAAGCTTTCGATAAAATTGCTATTATCAGACGCAGCAGAATTGCTCTTGGCGGTTTTGTTTACAACCGGACCTGGTTACACGTTAATACAAACACACTTTTAGTAACTCAGTGCGTTGTATAATTTTGCGTTATAAAAAAACGTATACATTATTTGATTAATTTGATTCTTTTTTTTCAAATTTCAAATAAATTTATTCAAAGAAGACACTATTTGTTGTACATTGTATAAGGTGTTTACATAAGAGCTTAATACATATACTATACGTGCATACATACAGATTATACATTAGACATAAAAAGGCGTCGGAGACATAAGTATATCGTTCAATGCCATGCAGTAATCTGAAATTCTAATAATTATTTACTGTCAAGACAGTTGTCGCAATGCATCAGAAAATACTCTGGATAGTCGAGTAAAAACCGTTACCCCCATCGGATACGCTTGAAGGTACGTGAGTTTAGTTAAATTAACCCGGTTCGAAAATAGTGGGTTATGTATTATAATACGGTCTACTAATTCACTATTATAAGCAGGGTTAAAGCACCTCCCTGATATAGGGGACAAAATAAAATAGGTTCACACTGTTAATGGATTAGGGTAACTAATGGATAGATATACCTACTATAGAAACATATTTGTGGTATACTTTTCTGAGAATCGTATGCCTAATAATAATTATAGGCCTAATAAATTCATCAATGAAGTAATAATATCATCATTAATATCGTCATCATTAATATCAACATCATCATCACCACCACCACCACCACCATCATCATCATTACCGTTATGATGATGATGATGATCATCATCATCATCATATCATCATTATCATCAGCAGCATCACCCCCCATCGTCAACATCATTTTACTGGATCAACAAGCAGTCTTATTGATGATCGAAATTCAACAAATTATAATTTGGTTTTTATATGAAATACGAAAAAATAAACACTTGGTCACGTCACCAAAAAGCGGAGATTTAGATTGGTGGTATTATTATCTTGTATATTTAAATAATTATTGCTTAAAAATTTGCAGTGGTATGCCACCAGCCGAGGGTTGTCAACTTCAGATAATAGACATTTCTGTCCCAGCACACTCACACACACATGTCCATGAGTCAGTACATGTCCACAAGGACAAACGCCACTGTCTGCGATGCCCCACATTTTCATGATGGCAGCAAACCGTCAAGTGCCAGAGCGTAGCCTGTTTAGTAGTTGTAGCCAGGCTTTCCGATGTAGGTTGTTGCCCGGTGGGTGTGATGACAGGCCTCAATGGCTGCAGTCGCCTAGGTTCAATAGGTACTGTGGTGGTGATCTGCTTTTCTCCCAATACTAATTAATATCCTGGGTTCAAATCTCTCAATGAGTAAAATCAATTTCATATATAAGCCTCATATACGGTATTACATATTAAGTACGAGTACTTAGTCGATCATTCTGATCACATACCCGGACCGGCACGTCGTTTCACGTTAGGCTCAAATAATAAAGTTGTCATAAAATTAGGGCCTTATATTGATCTATACTGAACGTATCAATCATTTTAAATCGAAGCCAATCAGTAATTGTGTAGCCACATCGTTTGCATATATCTAGCGATGTCTCGTCGAACGTTAATTTCGCGTTGCTGGGGGCAAGTCATAACATTGCTTTTATTAGAATGTATATATGACCGTATTTCGTTGGCACACGTTGTATTGCTACGGGCGTGAAAGTAATGTGCATTAAATCTGACCAAAAAAAAATCAAGATTTTAATAATTATCCACACACACACAT